TAATTTCTTTTAAAGTAAGGGGAGGCATCCTTCTAACCTATTCTTCCTAAATGACAACCCTAACAATGCTAAACATACATATTTTTTTCCAGTCTATATTACATTCTAGAATGTTTTAAAACTATCCTTTATAAGCCAGGAATGGTGGCTCATGCCTGTAATCCCAGAAGGAAAGATAAGAGGGATTACTATAAATTCAATTTGAGGCCACCTTGGGCTATAAAGTGAATAGCAGGCCAGCCAGGCCTATAGAACAAGTCCCTATCACAAAACGAAAAAAAACACCCCCCCCCCAAATCCCAATTATTCATAAAAATAAAACACAGGGGCTGGCAAGATGGCTTAGCTGGTAAAGGTATTCGCCACCAAGCCTGAAAACTTAAGTTCCATCCCCAGAACCCATAAGGTAAAAAGAATTTACCTCTGCAAGTTGTCCTTTGACCTCCATGCCTAAGCATGCTCACCCTCAGTAGATAGATAGATAGATAGATAGATAGATAGATAGATAGATAGATAGATAAACAACCCAGTTTCCTTTATCAATTTTCTGCATAGGGTGGTTTTGGTTAGTACTTCAGGAAACAAATCTGCTCTTATTTTTCAGTTCTGGGGATTAAATCCAGGGCCTCAGACATGTGACGTGAGGTAGTCTGCTACTGAGCCGTATTCCCCAGGCCCTGCTCTTGGTATCCTAACTGTCTCGTAGCCTTCCCTCTCAGCTTGTCTCTTTCTAGCTGGAAATGCCTATTTTTTGGTTTGGCTTTCCTTTAGGACACATCAGGATTTCCTATAAGAAAGAAAACATCCTTTAGTTCCTTCCTATGCGTTTTCAGCATTTTCCCAGCTGATAGAACAGCACATAGGTTTTTTTGTTTTTTTTCTTCCAGAAAGAAGTCCTAAGGTTACTGGGACCCTATTCCTGGCTTCTGATACCTCAGAGGTCATGCATAGTAACTACAGCTGGGGCGGGTTTTTTTTTTTTTTTTCTTTCCAAAGACACTCCCTTTATTTGTCTACACATCAGCTATTATTTCACTCTCAAGGGGATCTGAGATAAAGACTTAGGTGAAGGTACTTGAAGAGAGGTTAAAGATGTATTTATTTGTTCTTACTTTTTTGTTTGTTTGTTTTTCGAGACAGGGTTTTTCTTTATAGCCCGGGATATCCTGGAACTCACTCTGTAGACCAGGCTGGCCTCGAACTCAGAAATCCACCTGTCTCTGCCTCCCAAGTGCTGGGATCACAGGCGTGCGCCACCACTGCCCGGCTTGTTTTTACTTATAATGCTAGGATAAAACCCAGGTTCTTGGACATGCTGGGCAAGCATTCTATCCCAGAGCTATGTCCTCATCCCAGAAGCAAATGATTTAGACTTCAGTCAGCATTATTATTGTTTCTGATATCTAAGTTCCAAAGTGAACCAATCTCTTCAGTAAAGAGAATGTAAAATGCAAATATCTCAACCACCTGTCTTCAAATTTTTCTCTCTAAATCTGTCTTTTTCTTATCTTTGAGTCCTAAAGTATACATAAGAGATAAATGTGATAACTTAGTTCCTATGGGGAAAAAAAGAGATGTAAAATTTTCAAATATTTCACACATTTAAAAAACAGTATTTAGCCGGGCAGTGGTGGCGCACGCCTGTAATCCCAGCACTTGGGAGGCAGAGGCAGGAGGATTTCTGAGTTTTGAGGCCAGCCTGGTCTACAGAGTGAGTTCCAGGACAGCCAGGACTACACAGAGAAACCCTGTCTCGAAAAACAACAACAACAACAAAACCCAAAAAACAAACAAACAAAAAAAAACAAAATAAAAAACAGTATTTAATAGAAAGCAAATAACTAGGGCTAAGAATGAAAAATTAGTGTCCAGATATTGAGAAACCAAACTATCCCCTTTTTCATGTCTGTATTCGAGAAGCTGAATGTACTAGAAAAGTGGCTTAATGGTTAATAGCACTGGCTGCTGTTCCAGAGGACTTAGGTTTAACACCCATATGGTGGATTATCACATTCTGTTAACTCTAGTTCCAAGGGATGCACCTCCCCTCTTCTGGCCTCCATGGGCACTGCATACACGTGGTACATAGACACATACATGTAGGCAAAATATCCATATAGATAATATTTTAAAAAATATGCATACCCATTTTTAAGAGCTGAATGCTACTGGAGAAAAAGCACATACTGATCATCTGGCTTAACTTTACACTCATGATCACAAGCCTCAAATGGGCACCCTATCCCAGCAGGGCTGTCCTACTAAGAACTTAGGTTTCCTCCCTCCTACATTTGCGCACTTCTTCACTTGTTACCCTTATAACCAATGGGACCTTCCTCTCCAAGGTCATTTCTCCTGGTTTCCATACATCCTTCCACTAATTTCAGTCCTAGAAGGTCAAGCAAGCTTCCTTTTCCCTACAACACTTCTGACGACTCATAAAAATGCTTGGGAATACCATCTCTTTTAGTTAGTTTGGTTTTTTTGTGATGGGTTTCTCTGTGCGGCATTGGCTGTCCTGTAAGTAACTCCGTCTGTAGAGCAGGCTGGCCTTGAACTCTGCCTGCCTCTACCTCCCAAATGTGGGGATTAAATGTGTGAGCCATCAGCACCTGACCTCCCCGCTGAGTTGAGGTGATGCTCAATGGCAGAGCACATGGCCCTGGGTTGGATTCCCACCACCAAAAGGGAAACAAAACAAAACTTCTCCCTGACCTCACATCCTCTGCACGGATCCCCAAACGTCTGCTCCACCCACAGCAAAACTCAAGTTGCCTTCACGTACAGTTTCTATTTCCTTACTTTCCTGTTTACTTTTTAACCCATTCTCCTCAGGTTAACGTCTTCAGTTAGTCCACAAGAGTCAAGCTAAAGTCACTTCGGTATTTTCCAGTTATCTCCAAGGTAACAAACTCAGTAGCTAAGCCTCTGGTTGAACTGTACCAGAACTCACTCACAGTACCTGAAAACAGAAACCTCTCTTCCTGCCTCAAACTTACTTCTGGCCTTGAATCCTACAATTCAACACCCTAGACTTGACTTTCTGTTTACTTCCTTCTCTATTATCCTCTTTCTAATCTTGGAATTTCTCTTCTCTCTTTCCTCTAAGTCATAAACTGAAAGCTCCACAATAGTGGTTGAATGGGCTCATGATGTTTAAACACATCTGCTTTAGTTGCTGACATGTGAACATTTGGATTTTACATACTTCTAAACCTAACTTGCCGATTCTTTTGGGGAGGGGAATAAACAGTATCTGTTGATAATGGGCCAGCATTCCCACAACACAGCATAGATAGATATGAAGAGAGCAGAAGGAACTCCCTTGCTGCTAGGTGCATTTGCTGTCCAAACAGCTAAAGTAAGAGAATTAGGACTACAGTCCAGAGTCACATTCCAAGGTTGGGGGTTGAGGGGAGGGAAGAGCAACAGAACACCTGGCAATAGGGTTCCCGGGAAAGGGACGGGATTAAGGACCACCGACTGGGAACTCAAATAGAAATAACACTCTTAAAAACATAGACGTTCACGGTGCCAAATACAGCTAAAGACTGCTGTGGTCTGCTGTATCTCCGGACTGAGGTGACTCTGTACTGGTTCTCTTAATTCCACATCCGGTTTTATAAGGCCATTTTCTTGGGAGGAAGATTACCAAAACCCCTGGGCAAAGCCTCTAGCCGTCGATCTTGAGCACCGGACAAGTGTCGGAGAAGTGAGAGGGTGCGGGAACTCACTGGGTTTTACTCCGTGGCGGGACACCGTACAGAACTAACCCCGAGTTGGACCCAGCTGGGGAGGAGACTGGGCAGAGCCGAACCCTGGAGCTTCCTCGACCCCACGGCCCAGCCCCGCGCGCTTACTCCAGCTAACCGTAGTGCTCCCGCCCTTCACAGCTTTGAGGGAAAGACAGAGCTAAGGAATCAGGGCAACTAGGCGGAGATCCGATTGCCCAGAAGCCTCAAGCCTCCGCCCAGGAAGCCCCACCCAACGGGAACCAGGACGCCTCCTCGCCAGCGAAGCCCACGCGCGACCGGGTGAGGGCGCGGAAGGGCGCGTGCGGCGTGACGACGCGACTCGCGGCGCATCTCGTGACGCCATCGCGCCTGCTTTTGAAAGTTGGCGCCCGGGGCCGCCTCCCATGCTGCCCTGCGCCAACCCCTCCCCTCACCTTTCCTCCCCCGCCCTCAACTCGCCGCCGGCCGGCCCCCCCACCCGTCTCTTCCCTTATCAGCACCCGCGGCCCCGGCAGCGCCGACGCAGGCGCACTGCACCGCGCCGCCGCCATTTTGTGTCCGAGCCTGTGGAGCGATTAAACCGTGCGCGGAGCTGCTTCTTTGGCGGCAGCGGCGACAGCAGTAGCCAGTGCAGGCACGCGGAGCTGGCCGGGGACGCCAGGTGGCCGGAGCGGTGGAGCGGCGGCGGAGCGGGCGCCGCGGGGGGTGTGGCGCGAAGGTAAGGGGGCCCGGGGTGGAGGAGGTTTCGCGGGCCGCCTCTAGGTGTCACGATGGGGCCGCTCCGGTCGGCGCTGGCTGCAGCCCGGCGCCAGCGCCGCCGCCGGGGGGTGTTTGTCTCCCTCTACCGTCCCTGCTGCGGCGCGGCCGCCGCCATTGCCCGGCGCCGCCGCCAGGGCCTGGCCAACCCCCTCCACGCCCGCCCGCTAGCTTCCCTCCTCCCAACATGGTAGGCCTCTGGCGGCGGTGGCGACAGAGGCCTGCGCGCTCGGCGACTCCATTTTCCTTCCTTTGTCTCTACCCTCGAGGCCGGCTTTTGGCCCGGCTGATCTTCGGGCCACGGCCCGCCCTCTGCCCTCCGCCCCTCCCGCCGCGGCTGCCCCTAACCGAGGCTGAACCTCTGAGGCTCGGTTGCCGCGCTTGCTTCACCTAGGGTTCTGAACCCTCTGCCGGCCGCTTAGCCAGGTCCCGGAACCGTGTGGGTGTCGGGTCCCGACCGACGCGCCTCGGACTGCCTACCCTTCAAGTCCACCCGGTCCCGGAACCTACCCGGTCGCCCTGCGTGCTTCTCCAGCAGCTGGGGTGTTCTCTAGTTTCTCCTAGTGCGATCATCTCCGCTGCCGGTCTCCGTCGCCGCCGAGTGTCGCAGGCGGCGCTGCTGTGGCTGCGAGCAGAGGGACCCCTGAGCTGCCGAGAGCTCCCTCTGCAAGGCTGGCTGAGCTGCTCGCGCCTCGACGCCGCCCGAGCGGGCGGGGGAACGCGCGCTCGCCGCCCCCGCCGGGCCCCGCTGCGCCCCCAAACTCACGCCAGGGCATCGCGCGCGGGACCCGACCGGTGCGGCCCCCAATGGTGCGCTGAAAAGACACGAATTTCTGCACCAAATAGTTTTTCTCCAGCTATGTTCGCACTCTTCAGCCCCTTGAAACTATAGTAGTCAGACTTTGTGCGCTCAGAGATCTCAAAGGGACTGAAACTTAATTTCACTCTCATCTCATGTGATAAACTCATAAATTCGGGATTGTGGGCTGGTTGCGATTGTACAGGCGACGCTCGAGTTTGCCTCCTGTTTAAAATGTCCTGACACTAACTTTGTAGTCCACTTAGGACCTGATGCTCTAGGGCTAGGCTAAGACAGTTCAACCCCTCTAAGGATTGTGCAAACCGATCTAATACGCCAGTAGGGTAGAATGAACTTATTCTTGACTAGACTGGTATTTTTACTGTTCGATGAAATGTGAGGGTTGATGTTGTAATTGAATCCTGGGTCACTTGCAGCAGATGGTTTATAAATATCTGTGCCTAATGAAACTACTCTTTAGTATCTGACTTCCTGTATTGAGTTTAGCATTAAGTAAACATTAGCAAAGAGACTTAATACTTTTTTGGAGTTTAGATCAACTAAGAAAGCTAAAATTCCAAGGTGTCCATAGACAGGAAAAGAAATTAAACAGGGTATTTATCCTGGCTTTAAGTCTTTTGCATTTAAAAGCTTCCATTGATAAATTGCTGGAGTAACCTTTTCGTGCCCACTCTAACACGTATTTTATTACCAACTAGCCACTGGTGTGTGGCTTAGGTTCTTGAGAAAAGAAAGTCTAAGTTGACACTTTTCAAAAAAAGATAATGAGATGCTTTAATACACACGAGTGTACACACACACACACACACACACACACGTTTCTCTGTGTAGCCCTGGCTGTCTTGGCAATCTGTAGACTAGGCTGACCTCGAACTCAGATTCACCTGCTTCTGTGTATGGTTAAATGTATTGCAATGGCATGCTTTAATCATCTTGATGCTAAGAAAGATTGTGTTGTTCACTGTGTGATTTCAGTTTGTAGGTCTTGGCAACCTACATTGTATACAACTCTTTCAACACTCCCCTAGGAGTGAACCTAGGATTCTAGGATTTTCTGGCTAGTTAGGCCACACTAACCACATTGAAATCCTATGAAACTTTGTTTTTTTGTGATGCTCATGCATGCTATGCAAGTGTTCTGAGCTATGTTTTTTGTTTTTTGTTTTTGTTTTTGTTTGTTTGTTTTTCAAGGCAGGGTTTCTCTGTGTAGCCCTGGCTGTCCTGGAACTCACTCTGTAGACCAGGCCAGCCTCAAACTCAGAAATCCGCCTGTCTCTGCCTCCCAAGTGCTGGGATTAAAGGTGTGCACCAACACTGCCCGGCCTAAGCTATGTTTTTAGTCATTCAGCAACACCTCATTCCTTTTCCAATTCTCCAGAATGTTCTTCCTCACACTCCCTCACAATAAAATTGTGCTAACTAAATGTAGTAGTGTAGATAGAGTGCCAGCCTTAGTAGAACTATCTTTTAAAAATATATTAGGCCAAAATATGTAATTTATTACATTCTCCAGAGTTTTACTGTCAAGTTTGTGTTTGACAGGTGCCATATTTTGTTTATTAAAAGAACTTCCCAATGGTAGTGAATGCCAGTACATCAGAAGTAGAGGCAGGAAAATAGGAGTTCAAGGTTATCCTTAGCTTTGTAGAGTATAAGACAGTCCTTTGATACATGAGACTGCCAGGGCAGATAAGAGTGGTTGGGATTTGTTTTTGTAGTGCTGGGGTTTGAGCTCAGGGCCCTGGGTAAGCTAGGCAAGTGTTCTCTACCTCTGAGCTGTTTGCTTATCCCCTTTCTAGCTGAGATAAAATCTCATTGAGTTGCCTAGGTTGGCCTTGAATTTACTGTGTAGCTTTGGTAGGCCTCCCGTTTTCAGTCCTCCTAATTTAGAAATATCTGGGATTACAAGCTTGAATCAAGACACATTAAAGTTCGGACTGTTCAGAAGTGAGTGGCTAAATTTAATCCCCAATACTACTGGAACAAACAAATAGCAAATATTACCAAAGTACAACTATTTCCTTTGAAAATGTCATGAAGTCTATTTTCTTTGCTTATGATTTTTAAAATGGAAAGGAAACAACTAAATCTATAAGGAAAATAAATGGGGAGGGGAGGTGAATTAATGTAAGATAACCCAAAGGGACTACTTTTTTAAAACTATTTTTGTTGGGCATAGTGTCACATATTTTTAATCCCAGCTCTTGAAAGGCAGAGACAGGCTGATCTCTGAGTTTAAGGCCAGCCTACACTACTTAGAGAGATCCTGTCTCAAAAAATAAAAAAAAGGTTTTTAAGTTTTTGTTGTTTTTATTTTGAGATAGTGTCTCACTATATAGCTTTGGCTAGCACTGTGTAGAACAGGCTAGATTCCCCACTCAGATCCCCTGCTTCTGACTATGATTAAAGACATGAGCCATCACGTCTAGTGGCCTTTGTGTGTGAGTGCAGGCAGGTGTGTGTGAAAATCAGGACAACACTGTGGAATCCATTTTCTCCTCTTTTTGGAGCCCTGGTTGGTCAAGAACATGATATGTAGACTAGGTTGGTGCTGAACAACAGATCTGCCTGCCTTTGACTTCCAAAGGCTGAGATTGATGTCTTGGGTCATATCACACCTGATTTCTTGGAGACCCTACCCCGCCATAGCCCTGTCTGTCCTGGAACTGACTATGTAGACCAGGCTGGCCTCACACCACTTGAACTGTCTACTTCTGCCTCTTGAGTGTTGTTGGGATTAAAATCTTGGGGTTTTACTTGGATTCTGAATTCAGGTCATTAGGCTTTCCTGGAAATAGATTTTACCCACAGAGTCATCTTGTCCAACGCAAGGATTTTAACTTATTTAAATTAATAATGAGACACAGTTATACTAATGTCTGTGTACATAAGAAAATACTGCTTATTTAAGAGTAGTTGAGCCAGGTGGTGGTGGCGCATGCCTTTAATCTCAGCACTTGGGAGGCAGAGGCAGGTGGATTTCTGAGTTCGAGGACAGCCAGGGCTACACATAGAAACCCTGTCTTGAAAAACCAAAAAAAAAAAAAAAAAAAGTAGTTGAACAATTCTTAAGGGTCTCTCCAATTGTGTAAGAAAATTTAAGAGATGCAAAAGTTAATCTTAAGATGTTTATAAAGGAGTTTTAAGATTTAAAAAAAAAAGGATATTCAGAATTAAAGGAACTCAACTGGGACTAATGACTGGCTTAGAGTTCCTTGGCAGACTCCACATGTGGCTGACTAATGCTGTGGGGAGGAGTCTTAACAGTTGTACTTACTGGCAGAAAGTTTCTTTTTGAGCCCTTTTTCTCCTAGGGATGCTGCTAGCATCACAACTGTGATGGTTTGTAGATGCTTGGCCCAGGGAGTGGCACTATTAGGAGGTGTGGCCTTGTTGGAGTAGGTGTGTCACTGTAGGTGTGGGCTTAAGACCCTCACTCTAGCTTCCTGGAAGTGAGTGTTCTCTTGGCAGCTTTCAGATAAAGATGTAGAACTCTCTGCTCCTCCTGCACCATGCCTGCCTGGATGCTGCTATGGATAATGAACTGAACCTCAGAACCTGTAAGCCAGCCCAATTAAATGCTGTCCTTGTAAGAGTTGCCTTGGTCATGGTGTCTGTTCACAGCAGTAAATCCCTAAGACACCAGGCATCCTACATCATCATCTTTACAGCCACTGTGTCTTTCTCTCTTCTTAATGTAGGAACTCTGACTTGGTCATCTTTGTATTCTATTTACATGTCTCTAGATGGCTTCAAACTATTGGTAAAAATAGATCCTTCAAATAACTTAAGAGTAACATTAGAGACAAATATGTGTAATGTTGCAGATAGCTGCTCTCAGATATGCAGATTTGTCATATTCCATTTCTTTTCTTCTTCTTCTTTTTTTTTTTTTTTTGGTTTTTTGGTTTTTTGAGACAGGGTTTCCCCGTGTAGCCCTGGCTGTCCTGGAACTCACTCTGTAGACCAGGCTGGCCTCAAACTCAGAAATCCACCTGCCTCTGCCTCCCAAGTGCTGGGATTAAAGGCGTGTGCCACCACCGCCTGGCCATACACTTGATCTTTATTCTGGAATAACTTAAAATTTTTTTCAGGGATGTAAATTCTGTTCCCCTTGTTGGTGTAGACTTCAATATGAAATTGTTTCTTAGACAAAAATAAGTTTATATTAAGCTACCTCCCAACAAAAGAGCCATGCTGTCTCTTTATCTTAAGGGTTTTTTGTTTTTGTTTGTTTTTAAATTTTATTTATTTTTATTTTATGTACATTGGTGTTTTGACTGCATGTATGTCTTAGTAAGGGTATCATATTCCTTAGAACTGGAGTAACAGGCAAGTTTTGAGCTGCTATGTGGGCGCTGGGAGTTGAACCCAGGTCCTCTGGAAAAGCAGCCAGTGCTCTTAACTGCTGAGCCATCTCCTCAGTTCATTATTGTGAATTTTTAAAAGGTATTATATCCGTTTAATTGAGCTAGTTAAATTGTGAGGTAAATTTCTTTTTGTTGTACCATATACATCGTTTTTTTTTTTAATTCTTTGTTGTTTATAAGATTTTAAAAAAATTTTGTGTAGGAATGTTTTGCTTGCATATATGTATATATTCCCTGTGCTTATTTAGTACCTGTGAAGGTCAGAGGGGGTCAGAGTCCCTGGAACTGGATTTACAGACAATTGTAATTGTGAGCCACCATGTGGGTATTGGGAACTGAACCTAGGTCCTCTGCAAGAGCAGCAAGTGCTGTTTACTGCTGAGCCATCCCTCCAGTCCCCTTTCCCTTTTTGTTGTTTTTTTTTAGATAGTCTCACCTCAAACTCATAATTCTACTTCTGTCTCCCAAGTGCTGGGACTATGAGTATACACCTCCATCTTTGAATACTCTTAA